ATTAGCCACCAACCTGAAGTCGGTGATTTTTGCCTCTTTAGCTAAAAGAAGTAAGCAGGCAATGTTACTAATAGTCCCGTTAGCTCCAAAATTCTATGGCCTCTTGCACAAACATGAAGGTGAACAATTCACAGGTAAATTATTGACTCAAAGATGTTTCCTCTGACTGTAATCTCCCACTTCCCCTTGTCTTCTTAGAGAGCTCCTGTTCACCTTCCTTTAATTACCACCCACTTCTTTCATGAAACTTTCCTAAAGCCTAAGTAGAACAAATTGCTACACATACTCTGGGCCCCCATGATTGTACTGCATCTATCACAGATGACTATATACCATCCACCATCTCTGGAATCTCATATCTTCCTCAATGCCTGGCACACAGCAGGTGCTAAGGATGTGTTTAAAAGATTTGAGTCCACAAAATTAAATGAGGTCCCTGTGAAGTTTCCATATCTACCATGAGAGTTTAACTTAATCTGAAGATACACAGAGGCCAACCTGCGGCACAACCAAAGCTCTGTCCCAGCCAGACCCACATATGCAGTGCAAATTTATCCTGAGAGTTTATACAAAAGCTACACAAAGGTATCATTCCTGCAGATGATCTGGGAACCCACTCTGGGGATTATCCTAATCTGTCTCAACTCCCTATTCAAAAATCTCTATACCCTGCTCTCCTTTGTTTCATGGCACTTACGACCTTCTGCCATACTACATGATTTATTGATGTTTAGTATTTACGGACACTTACCAGAACGTAAGTCGCACCAATGCAGGGATTTTTTTCTCTTTTGTCACAAATGGTGCCCAACATCTACGCCAGCGCCTGGCACAGCAGTTTTGTTTTTCTCTTTTTTTGAGATGGTCTCACTCTGTCGTACAGGCTGGAGTGCAGTGGCATAATCTTGGCCCACTGCAACCTCCACCTCCCAGATTCAAGTGATTCTCGTAGTCAGTCTCCCATGTAGTTGGGATTACAGGCATCCACCATCACGCCCAGCTAATTTTTTTATTTTTAGTAGACATGGGGTTTCATTTCTTGGTCAGGCTGGTCTCGAACTCCTGACCTCAAGTGATCCACCCACCTCAGCCTCCCAAAGTGCTGGGATTACAGGCCTGAGCCACGATGTCCCGCGACCGGCCTTTTTTTAAAGACAATGTCTCACTCTCTATGGGCCAGGCTGGAGTGCAGTGGCGTGATTATGTCTCACTACAGCCTTGATGTCTTCAATCTCCTCAGGCTCAGATGACCCTTCCACCTCAGCCCCCAGAGTAGCTGGGACTACAGGCTCACACTGCCACACACCTGGCTAATTTTTGTATTTTTGGGGTAGAAACAGAGTTTTGCCATGTTGTCCAGGCTGGTGTGGAACTCTGGGCTCAAGTGATCCGCCCACCTCAGCCTCCCAAAGTGTTGGAATTACAAGCAGGAGTCACCGTGCCCGGCCCACAGTGCGCCTTTTAAAAATCAGTAGTAATTCTTTCCTTCTATCTTAGAGCCCTCAAGAGTCATGAGTCACCACCTTTGCAGCCCTATCTTGCATTGCCCTTATTTCCTCTGCTCCATCCACTGATAGTAGGCTTCCCAGTAAGCTTTCAAGAATGGGAGGAAAATATTTGTATTTAACTCCTAAGCTGTAACTCTTTCCTTCTCTGCTCATCTGTTGGTAAAGAAATAGTATTCAGACGGCCAAGTGCGATGGCTCACACCTGTAATCTCAGCCCTTTGGAAGGCCAAGATGAGCGGATTGTTTGAGCCCAGGAGACCAGCCTGGGTGACATGGCAAAACCCTGACTCTACCGGAAAAAAAAAAAAAAAATCAGCCAGGCATAGTGGCACATACCTGTGGTACCAGCTACTTGTGGTGGGGAGGGGGTTTCAGATGAAAGAATCACCTGAGCCTGGGAAGTCAAAGCTACATTGAGCTGTGACCACGCCACTGCACTCCATCCTGGGCGACAGAGTGAGCTCATCTCAAAAAAAACAAAAAACAAAAAAAAACAGTATTCAGACAGTTATACCAAATAACAGACAGATGAAATAACCAAAGCTTTGTTCTTTCACTTCCAATAATAATCATTTCTATGTGGTGTTCACTTTGTATTTTTAATTGATGGTGGGCAAAGACCAAAAGTAAAAATGTTGAATTAACTTTTCTGATTGTCAAGCACATGGGCTAAATATGTTGAGAACATATCAAATGCTAGATAGATGTAACCTAACTGAAAAATTGTGCTCCAAACGGTGCAAATGCTCTAAGGTGCTATATATATTAGTTACAGCAAGATTTATTTTGTAGTTACTAACCTTCAGGAGAAATGAACTAATCTACCACACTTCTGAATCTATATTAAACACTGAGCCATGTAAAAATAGGACACTACTGTATTTGTATTCAAAAAATAGCATCAGAACCTTCTCCATCCCCTAGTTTCAGCCAAATATGGCTCTTCCCTGCTTTAACCAATTTTTTTTTTTTTTTTTTTTTTTGAGATGGAGTCTCGCTCTGTCACCCAGGCTGGAGTGCAGTGGCACGATCTCATCTCACTTCAACCTCTACCACCCGGGTTCAAGTGATCCTCCTGTCTCCGCCTCCCGAGTAGCTGGGACTACCTGCACGCCACCTTACCCAGCTAATTTTTGTATTTTTAGTAGAGATGGGGTTTCACCATATTGGCCAGGCTGATCTCGAACTCCTGACCTGATGAACTGCCCGCCTTGGCCTCCCAAAGTGCTGGGATTACAGGCGTCAGCCACCGTGCCCGGCCTTGCTTTAACCAATTTAGCTTACTAGACACAAGCCCATCAGCAGTAGTCATGGACATCATCTACAGCGCTATTTTGAATACAGCTTCTAAATTCTTGAAAAAAAAACATTAGCAATGTAAAATTAAGCTCAAGATGAGAAGCTTCAAGCTGAGATGCTTGAATATGGTGATTAGAACTAAAACAAGAAACTGCCCAGGCGCGGTGGCTCACGTCTGTAATCCCAGTATTTTGGGAGATCGAGGCGGACAGATCACTTGAAGTCAGGAGTTCGAGACCAGCCTGGCCAACATGGTGAAACCCCCATCTCTACTAAAAAATACAAAAATTAGCCAGGCGTGGTGGCGCCGGCCTGTAGTGCCAGCTACTTAGGAGGCTAAGGCAGGAGAACCGCTTGAACCCGGCAGGCGGAGGTTGCAGTGAGCCGAGATCACGCCACCACACACTCCAGTCTGGGTGACAGAGCAGAGACTCCGTTTCAAAAAAAAAAAAAGAAAAGAAGAATTAAAATAGGAAACAAGGACTTTTTTATAAAGTCACCCAGTCCTGTCATCTAGCCCTATGTCAATCTGACAAACTCAGAATCAACTTCTAGGAGGAGCCTAAGAAATCCCTTTCACAGTGTAAACCTTTTAGGCAAGTTGACACATGCCGGGTCCCCTATGCATATTGGAAATAGCAAGTCTGCCCCTAGGTCAGCCTTCTGTGATTGTTCAGTTTTGCTTAAACACCCTAAAAAAAAATTCTAGATGTGAGCATGTGAAAATAAGGGTGAACTGGCAGGGCGCGGTGGCTCCCGCCTGTAATCCCAACACTTTGGGAGGCCGAGGCAGGTGGATCACGAGGTCAGGAAATCGAGACCATCCTGGCGAACATGGTGAAACCCCGTTTCGGGCGTGGTGGCGGGTGCCTGTAGTCCCAGCTACTCGGGAGGCTGAGACGTGAACCCAGGAGGCGGAGTTTGCAGTGAGCCGAGACCGCGCTACTGCACTCCAGCCTGGGCGACAGAGTGAGACTCCATCTCAAAAAAAAAAAAAAAAGAAAAGAAGGGTGAATTAAATTCTCAGTATTCAGACGTCAATGTAATAACTAAAAATTATTAGTCAAGGAAAGAAAGGAAATCATAAGAAAATAATCTTTAAATGCTAATTTCTCCACAACAGTAAAAGAGTATATATGGGATGAGTTTCAACCTCTGAGTTTTTATTAGTTTTCTAAACACAGACTAAACATGGAATGAGTGCATCACAACGAAGCCTTCAAAGGAGTTATTCCTCAGGGTGTAACCCCTGTTTTCAGACGACCTGAGGCTTATCTACTGCCTCCATATCCACATCTGGCCATCCCATCCTTCTGCCCTTCCCTCTCCACGTTTCCCCCACTCGTCTGGAACAAACGATAAGTAAGTGAAATAATGACCAGCACTAAATATGACGCCAAAGTTGGCATTTACAAATGATTTTCCAAACAACTCCCCAGAGAACCTAATCAACCTAGCAGGGTACACTATCCAAAACCTATTTGCTGGTTGTCTAAAAAGATAAAACTCGCCTTCTTCAGGAAAGCACTCTGGCAAGAAGGGCGCCTCGAGGAAGCAAGGAGGCGGCTCCAGACCCCTTTCCTGGGGACCCCAGTCTGTGTCCAAGGGATCCCGACCCGCAAGCAGCCTTGTTTCAGTGTTACAAGTACAGAACTTGTCATCCCAACTTCCCAGCCCTAAGACGAGAGAGGAAGTTAAAAGGGTCCTGGGATGACGGGGGAAAGTACGACAGTCCATCTTCTGTGCTTGGGACCCAGAAAAGAGCATTGGGCAGCCGCGACGGAGCCCTTCGACCGGGCACTGGTTGGATACGGGTTGTGCAGGACAGTGGGAGATACACACGAGAAGCGCGCAAACAAGCCCGGGAATGCGAGCGAGGGCAGAGACGGGGGTGATGAAGGAATCCAGGCGCTGGCCCCGGGGTGTGCCAGGGGGAAAGAACCTCCTCAGGGCTGGAGGAGCCCACGCGTACTCGAAGCCCGATGGGGAGGCGGTGGTTAAACTAGTTGGAGCGCTCCGCGCAGTCCCGGGGCCCCGCTTGGTGGTGACGCCCGGCCCGGGCAGCGCGGGGCCAGGAGGGTCGGGACGAGGGTGGGCGGCGGACGCCGGGCGGAGGGCAGCGGGCAGCGGGCAGCGGGCGGGGGCCCAGGTCCACCCGAACAAAGCCGGCGCGTGCGGGGCCTGGCTACTCACAACAAGAAGCTCATGTTGGCCGCGGTGCAGGCTGCAGGCTCGGCGGTTGCGAGGCCTCGGAGCGGCGTCGGCCAGGAAAGGAGAGAAAACGCAAATGGAACAAGAGACAGGGAGGCGGAGGAGGAGGTGCGGAGACCTGGTTGCTCGGTGGCCGCAACTAGTTCGGCTCAGCTAGTTCCAATGGCAGGCGGAGGGGGCGGAAGTGGGTAGCGCTCGTCTTGAATCACTCCAGGGGAGGGGAAGGAAAGGGAGGCGGGGCAGGGCTGCAGGCTCTCCGCGTGCCCCTCCCCAGCTCCCGGCCGCCCCCACCTCACGAGCTCTCGCGATAGCGGTGCAAGCCCACCCCTCCCGTCTGGCTGCGGCCTGGGGTCGCTCACCTTCTGGTCCTCTCTGCTGCCAGGGACCACGCCCAGCGTGTGCGCAGGGGCCGCCCGGCCCCCCTGTCTACCCGGTTAGGGGTCGTGGCAGAGCGCTGGGAGACGCTCAGCTGGGCTCCGGAGGTTAGGGGGGAAGTGGGCTTCCGCTCCGAGATGTCAGGGTCCCGCAGTGAGGGATGGAATTACCACCGGAGTTAGGCCCACAGTGAGTGCCCGGCCAAGGGCGGTGAAAGGTGGTGGCATCTTGCTGTGCTACCACTTAAAAACAGGAGGGAGTTTCATCAGGTTGGAATGGCTTGGAGGAAAAGGATCAAATGGGTTTTCAAGGTCTCTGTCTTTTTATGGTAATATTTGTAAACCCTGAACTAGGGGAAGGTCAGGGTCCGTGACTACCTGAACAGGCAAGCCAGGCTGTCATCAGCAGCTGGGAAAAGTAAGCGAGCCAAGGAGGAGAGCTGAGCTCAGTTCACCGCAGAACCCAGCAAGGTAGGGTGGTCATCGGTGTAAAGGGAGCCAAAGCTTGTAAGCATTCTAACGCACAGAATATCCTAGAAGCTATTCAGACCCACTTGCAAAGGGACTTTTATTCTCGCAGGGTTATGGGGCCCAGGGCAAGCCTTTATATTCTGTTTAAGAATCCTTCACATACCTTGAATATGTCACCACAGCATTACCAATTTAGGGGGGAAATGTGAGTACCCAAAAGATGTCCATCTTCTTACAACACCCATGAAATCCACACGTTTTCAAAGAATCTGAGCAAAACAAATCATGTGCAGATATTAGCTCACCTTTGGCTTATTCCAAAGGGCAGAATACACTTTGAAGTAGGTACAGATATGAAATGTATTATACTGCATTTATGCACTATTATTTGGCACGTTGGTAAAGTGGTTAAAAAAATTTTTTAAAAAACCTTTTTAGGCCGGGCACAGTGGCTCATGCCTGTAATCCCAGCACTCTGGGAGGCCGAGGTAGGTGGGTCACCTGAGGTAAGGAATTCAAGACCAGCCAAAGTTCAAGACCAGTTCAAGACAATGGCCAAGCCCAGTCTCTACTAAAAATACGAAAATTAGCCTGGTATGGTGGCACACACCTGTAATCCCAGCTACTTGGGAGACTGAGGCAGGAGAATTGCTCCAACCCAGGAAGCAGAGGTTGCAGTAAGCAAAGACCGTACCACTGCACTCCCCACTGGGTGACAGAGTGAGACTCCGTCTCAAAAAAAAAAAAAAAAAAAAATTAATAGAAGAAAATACTAGAATCTTGCACTATCTCAGGAAGAAAAGAAATTACTGGAATGAGAAAACTTACAGGCTCAAAAGATTACCAGATCAGGATAAATAGCTGATGCATGCAGAGCTTAATACCTAGGTGATAGGTTCATAGGTGCAGCAAACCACCATGGCACACGTTTACCTATGTAACAAACCTGCATGTCCTGCACATGTATCCTGGAACTTTAAATTAAAAAATATTTTAAAGATTCCCTAAAAAGAAGAAAGAGGAGGATTTATCTTAATGAAAAGAATAGATTTATGATATAAAACCCTGTGCTCCAAATATTGATATGGTACTGACTTACTGTATAAATCTTTTTTTTTTTTTCAAGATGGAGTCTCACTCTGTCACCCAGGCTGGAGTCCAGTGGCATGATCTCGGCTCACTGCAACCTCTGCCTCCTGGGTTCAAGCAGTTCTCCTGCCTCAGCCTCCAAAGTAGCAGGGATTACCAGCGTGTGCCACCACACCCAGCTAATTTTTGAATTTTTAGTAGAGACGGGGTTCCACTATGTTGGCCAGGCTGGTCTCGAACTCCTGACCTCGTGATCTGCCCGCCTCGGCCTCCCAGTGTGTTGGGATTACAGGTGTGAGCCACCACGCCCAGCCCTGTATAATTCTTTTAAGGGTCTTCTGAAAGTAAGACTTGCATTACCAGGTTACTGATTATCTTTGGAAAGAGTAAGTGAGTTGACCTGTTATAGCTTCAGTTTTAGCCCAATTAAAGTGAGAGCCTGTATCATTACATGATCTCTAAGGTATCTTTCAGTTCTAAAGTTCTCTCCTGCCAGGGGCATCCTTCAAATTACTGGCACACATTTCCAAACTGCTCCCTGATTTGGCTTAGGTAGCCTTAGTTTTGGTCTGACATAATTTAGATGTATCCTGTGACACTGAATAGAGGAAAACATTGGCAGAGGAAAAAATCTGCAAAAATACCTTCTGAGTATTTCTTTATCATACCACTAGGAGAGTTGCCTGGAATTAACACCTGATAAAACGTAAATATATTGGCCTAAATGTGAGGGAGGTGTCAGGTTAATAATACACAATATGATTCCAGCTTAGACTTTAAATCAAATGATGACTGTCACATAAAAGTATTCAGTATGCCAAAAACATTGGGAATTTCAGAATCAAAAGAGGTTATATTCAAATAGATATTTATAATTATCGTTTCTCCCTCACCAGTCTACATTTCCTACTACATTCTTCCAAAAATTTCAATTTCAAGAAGCTACTCTCCTGACCAAAATCTAATAACCTTTTGTTTATAGAGCAAGATTATTAAAATTTCTGTTCTATCCAACTTTTCAAAGAATTGAAATTATACTATAACATGTACAGAACAGAACAGGAGTGGGCATATGCTCTTTAAATATTCATTTGAATAAAGACACATGCACACATATGTTTATTGCAGCACTATTTACAACAGCAAAGACTTGGAACCAACCCAAATGCCCATCAATGATAGACTGGATAAAAAAAAATATGGCACATATACACCATAGAATACTATGCAACCATAAAAAAGAATTAGTTCATATCCTTTGCAGAAACATGGATGAAGCTGGAAACCATAATTCTCAGCAAAGTAACACAAGAACAGAAAGCAAACACTGCATGTTCTCACTCATAAGTGGGAGTTGAACAATGAGAACACATGGACACAGGGAGGGGAACATCACACACCAGGGCCTGTCACTGGGGTGAGGGGCAAAGGGAAGAAAAGCATTAGGACAAATATCTAATGCATGCAGGGCTTAAAACCTAGATGACAGGTTGATAGGTGCATCTAACCACCATGGGGGTTGATAGGTACAGCAAACCGCCATGGCACATGTATACCTATGTAACAAACCTGCACTTTCTGCACATATATCCCAGAACTTAAAGTAAAATTTAAAAAAAAAAAAAGAGAAAAGCAAATATATATATATGTGTGTGTGTGTGTGTATATATATATTTATATATATTCATTTGAGGCTGGATGCCATGGCTCACACCTGTAATCCCAGCACTTTGGGAGGCCAAGATAGGAGGATTACTTGAAGTCAGGAGTATGAGACCAGCCTAGTAAACATAGCGAGACCCGATCTCTATAAAAAAGAAAAAAAAAAAAGAATAAATATATCCTAAGTGTATTTTGGCATGCTACACAATCTCACTTAACAAAGCTAGCAATTCAACCTGACCCTTATCAGTGCTCCTTAGATTTTAATTCTATATCTTGCTTCATTAAAGACTAACCAATGTACAATTTCAAGTGCTTCTCAAGGACAGATTAATTTGACATAATAGAAAAGAATGGGCCAGGCGTGGTGGCACACACTTGCAATCCCAGCACTTTGGGAGGCAGAGGTGGGCGGATTTCTTGAGGTCAGGAGTTGGAGACAACTGGCCAACGTGGTAAAACCCCGTTTCTACTAAAAGTACAAAAGTAGCCGGGCATGGTGGCATGCCCTGTAATCCCACTATTCAGGAGGTTGAGACACAAGAATCACTTGAACTTGGGAGGCAGAGGTTGCAATAAGCTGAGGTCACACCACTGCACTCCAGCCTGGGTGACAGAGTGAGACCCTGTCAAAAAAAAAAAAAAAAAGAAAGAAAAAGAAGTGGCTTTTTCTTTCATCACAGTGGCTCATGCCTGTAATCCCAGCACTTTGGGAGGCTGAGGCGGGCAGATCACCTGAGATCACGAGTTTGAGACCAGCCTAGCCGACATGGCAAAACCCCGTATCTACTGAAAATACAAAAATTAGCCTGGCGTGGTGGTGGGTTCCTGTAATCCCAGCTACTCGGGAGGCTGATTCGGGAGAATCGCTTGATCCTGGGAGGCGGAGGAAGAAGTGAGCCAAGATCACACCACTGCACTCCAGCCTGGGCAATAGGGCAAGACTCCAACTCAAAAAAAGAAAAAATCTTAAAGAAAGGAATGGAGACATGAAAGACTGATGAAGCTTGGTGTCTTTCAGTGTATTCATTTATTGCTAAAACCCACAAAGCATCAAAACACAGAGCCTGCCAGGTGTGGTGGCTCACGCCTGTAATCCCAGCACTTTGGGAGGCCAAGGCAGGTGGATCACCTGAGGTCGGGAGTTCGAGACTAGCCTGACCAACATGGAGAAACCCCGTTTCTACTAAAAATACAAAAAAAATCAGCCGGGTGTGGTGGTGCATGCCTGTAATCCCAGCTCCTTGTGAGGCTGAGGCAGGAAAATCGCTTGAACCCAGGAGGCGGAGGGTGTGGTGAGCGGAGATCGTGTCATTGCACTCCAGCCTGGGCAACAAGAGTGAAACTCCGTCTCAAACAAAAACAAACAAACAAACAAACAAACAAAAAAACAGAGCTTATTATTTAATGTTTAAAATGGAAGGAGGAGGCCGGGCGCTGTGGCTCACGCCTGTAATCCCAGCACTTTGGGAGGCCGAGACAAGTGGATCACGAGGTCAGGAGATTGAGACCATCATGGCTAACATGGTGAAACCCCATCTCTGCTAAAAATACAAAAAAATTAGCCGGGCATGGTGGCGGGCGCCTGTAGTCCCAGCTACTGGGGAGGCTGAGGCAGGAGAAT